TGTAAGAACATATTCAATCAAGACAATTATATTCAAATTACCAAAAGGAATTCTAAGATTAATTTTGAAATATTGAATAACATTAAAAGTTAAATTAGCATATACAAAGGAAGTCTGACATATTGAAGATTGGTGTTCAACATGTTCAATGTTAAATGACCTTCTGGTAAACTTTCTAACTTGTTACTCATTAAATAATTAATAGAAAATCAATGATCATGAAAATGCTTAATTTATCTTCTTTTATTTACATTACCATACATTTTAAAGGTTGATCTTAAGTTATTCAATCGATCAAATATATTTGTCGTCCACCTGATATGATAGATATATAATTTGTATTGCTTTAAAATTCAACATAAAAAAATGAACCAAATTTAAAAAGAATGATAGCAAAACTGCTGAGTTCTCAACACACAAGTATTTTGAAGAAAATCAGATATGTGTACGTGATTAAATATACAATATAATCTATAACACAATTAAGTCCTAAGATGATCACAATTCATACATACAATGTTTTAATTTTTGTTTTGTTAGAAAACATATGAACGAGGTTAAGAATTCCACACACTATTAAATAAGTTTAGGTCTGATATAAATATCAATTACACTTAAAATTCTATAGGATTCATGTTGAACAGAAAAAAGATCTTCTGGTAAAGTTATTAACTTGTTCTGGCCTAAATGTCTGAAAGGAAGTCAACTATCTTGATTTTGTAAGAACATGTTACATTAAAGCACTAATTCTGAACTTACAAAAGATTACCAATCTGATCTCCTTGTATTCAATAAGTTTATAATTGTGATAAACCTGCTGAGCTATTGGCACACAAGTATATTAAAAACCCTTTTATATAGGAACATGATTTGCAATAATTTAATATAACCTTTTAATAAGATTAAGTCTGACATATTGAAGATTGGTGTTCAACATGTGCAATGTTAACTGACCTTCTGGGATTTTTTCTAACTTGTTATTCAGTAAATATCTAATCGAAAATTGATGATCATGAACATAGTTACTTAATTAACCTACTTATATTCAAATTACCAAACATTTCAAAGTTTGATCTTCAGTTATTCAATGGATCAAATATATGTGTCATCAACCTGATATTGTTGATGTGATTTTCATTGCTTTAAAAATCAACATTATTTAACGAAATTAAAATAGAATAATGACAAACTACTGAGTTCTCGGCACACAAGTATATGTAAGAACAGCAGATGTGAGTGTACGTGATTAGATATACAGTTCAAATAATATAATATGTAACTTAAAATCTGAGATGAACATAAATCATACTTACAATGTTTCAAGTTTTGTGTTGCTAGAAAAAAGATCTTCTGGTAAAGTTATTAACTTGTTCTGCTCTAAATGTCTGAAAGGAAGTCAACTATCTTGATTTTGTAAGAACATGTTAAATTAAAACACCGATACCGAATTTACCAGAGATTACCAAATTCGATCTCAGTGTATTGAAAAGATGAAATATATTTTTCTTCAAACTGACATTGTTGATGCATTTTTATAAGCTTCAACTGCAATCTTTAATCAATGAGTGACATTGAAAGTAACATTTAGTATGCACAAAGGAAGTTTGCCAATAAAATGAAATTAAGTTAGACCTTCTGAGTTGTCAACAGACAAGTATATTGAGGAATATCAGTTATGTATGTAAGTGATTATATAAACAACACAATCTTTCATAAAATAAAGTCTGTGATAAACATTATTCACAATTACAATTCTTGTAACTTGGTGTTTGATGATAACAGACTATCTGGAAAATTTTCCTTGTTGTCTTTGGTTACAATTTTGGAGTATAATCAAGCATCTTAATTATGTAAGAACATATTCAATCAAGACAATTATATTCAAATTACCAAAAGGAATTATAAGATTAATTTTGAAATATTGAATAACATTAAAAGTTAAATTAGCATATAAAAAGGAAGTCTGACATATTGAAGATTGGTGTTCAACATGTTCAATGTTAAATGACCTTCTGGTAAACTTTCTAACTTGTTACTCATTAAATAATTAATAGAAAATCAATGATCATGAAAATGCTTAATTTATCTTCTTATATTTACATTACCATACATTTTAAAGGTTGATCGTAAGTTATTCAATCGATCAAATATATTTGTCGTCCACCTGATATGATAGATAAAATTTGTATTGCTTTAAAATTCAACATAAAAAAATGAACTTAATTAAAAAAGAATGATGGCAAAACTGTTGAGTTCTCAACACACAAGTATTTTGAAGAAAATCAGATATGTGTACGTGATTAAATATACAATATAATCTATAACACAATTAAGTCCTAAGATGATCACAATTCATACATACAATGTTTTAATTTTTGTTTTGTTAGAAAACATATGAACGAGGTTAAAAATTCCACACACTATTAAATAAGTTTAGGTCTGATATAAATATCAATTACACTTAAAATTCTATAGGATTCATGTTGAACAGAAACAAATCTTCTGGTAAAGTTACTAACTTGTTATGCCTTAAAAATCTGGAAGAAAATCAAATATCTTGATTGTGTAAGAACATGTTAAATCAAAACACTGATACTAAACTTACCAAAGATTACCAATTTGATCTCCCTGTATTCAATAAGTTTATCATTGTGATAAACCTGCTGAGCTATTGGCATACAAGTATATATTAAAACCCCTTTATATAGGAACATGATTTGCAATAATTTAATATAATCTTTTAATAAGTTTAAGTCTGACATATTGAAGATTTGTGTTCAACAAGTTCAATCTTAACTGACCTTTTGGGAATTTTTTTAACTTGTTATTAAGTAAATATCTAATAGAAAATCAATGATCATGAATATACTTAATTAACCTACTTATATTCAAATTACCAAACATTTCAAAGGTTGAACTTCAGTTGTTCGATGGATCAAATGTAATTGTGATCAACCTGATATTGATGATGTAATTTTCATTGCTCTAAAATTCAACATTATTTAACGAAATTAAAATAGAATGATGACAAAACTACTGAGTTATCGGCACACAAGTATATGTAAGAAGAGCAGATGTGTGTCTACGTGATAAGATATACAATTTAAATAATATAATATGTAAGAAAAAGTCTGAGATGAGCATAAATCATACTTACAATGTTTCAAGTTTAGTGTTGTTAGAAAACAGACCTTCTGGTAAAGTTACCAACGCGTTATTCCCTAAATCTCTGGAAGACAATCAATTATCATGGTAATATAAGAACATGTTACATTAAAGCACTAATTCTGAACCTACAAAAGATTACCAATCTGATCTCCTTGTATTCAATAAGTTTATAATTGTGATAAACCTGCTGAGCTATTGGCACACAAGTATATTAAAAACCCTTTTATATAGGAACATGATTTGCAATAATTTAATATAACCTTTTAATAAGATTAAGTCTGACATATTGAAGATTGGTGTTCAACATGTGCAATGTTAACTGACCTTCTGGGATTTTTTCTAACTTGTTATTCAGTAAATATCTAATCGAAAATTGATGATCATGAACATAGTTACTTAATTAACCTACTTATATTCAAATTACCAAACTTTTCAAAGGTTGATCTTCAGTTATTCAATGGATCAAATATATGTGTCATCAACCTGATATTGTTGATGTGATTTTCATTGCTTTAAAAATCAACATTATTTAACGAAATTAAAAAAGAATAATGACAAAACTACTGAGTTCTCGGCACACAAGTATATGTAAGAACAGCAGATGTGTGTCTACGTGATTAGATATACAGTTCAAATAATATAATATGTAACTTAAAGTCTGAGATGAACATAAATCATACTTACAATGTTTCAAGTTTTGTGTTGCTAGAAAAAAGATCTTCTGGTAAAGTTATTAACTTGTTCTGGCCTAAATGTCTGAAAGGAAGTCAACTATCTTGATTTTGTAAGAACATGTTAAATTAAAACACCGATACCGAATTTACCAGAGATTACCAAATTCGATCTCCGTGTATTGAAAAGATGAAATATATTTTTCTTCAAACTGACATTGTTGATGCATTTTTATAAGCTTCAACTGCAATCTTTAATCAATGAGTGACATTGAAAGTAACATTTAGTATGCACAAAGGAAGTTTGCCAATAAAATGAAATTAATTTAGACCTTCTATGTTGTCAACAGACAAGTATATTGAGGAATATCAGTTATATATGTAAGTGATTATATAAACAACACAATCTTTCATAAAATAAAGTCTGTGATAAACATTATTCACAATTACAATTCTTGTAACTTGGTGTTTGATGATAACAGACTATCTGGTAAACTTTCCTTGTTGTCTTTGGTTACAATTTTGGAGTATAATCAAGCATCTTAATTATGTAAGAACATATTCAATCAAGACAATTATATTCAAATTACCAAAAGGAATTCTAAGATTAATTTTGAAATATTGAATAACATTAAAAGTTAAATTAGCATATAAAAAGGAAGTCTGACATATTGAAGATTGGTGTTCAACATGTTCAATGTTAAATGACCTTCTGGTAAACTTTCTAACTTGTTACTCATTAAATAATTAATAGAAAATCAATGATCATGAAAATGCTTAATTTATCTTCTTATATTTACATTACCATAAATTTTAAAGGTTGATCGTAAGTTATTCAATCGATCAAATATATTTGTCGTCCACCTGATATGATAGATAAAATTTGTATTGCTTTAAAATTCAACATAAAAAAATGAACTTAATTAAAAAAGAATGATGGCAAAACTGTTGAATTCTCAACACACAAGTATTTTGAAGAAAATCAGATATGTGTACGTGATTAAATATACAATATAATCTATAACACAATTAAGTCCTAAGATGATCACAATTCATACATACAATGTTTTAATTTTTGTTTTGTTAGAAAACATATGAACGAGGTTAAAAATTCCACACACTATTAAATAAGTTTAGGTCTGATATAAATATCAATTACACTTAAAATTCTATAGGATTCATGTTGAACAGAAACACATCTTCTGGTAAAGTTACTAACTTGTTATGCCTTAAAAATCTGGAAGAAAAACAAATATCTTGATTGTGTAAGAACATGTTAAATCAAAACACTGATACTAAACTTACCAAAGATTACCAATTTGATCTCCCTGTATTCAATAAGTTTATCATAGTGATAAACCTGCTGAGCTATTGGCACACAAGTATATATTAAAACCCCTTTATATAGGAACATGATTTGCAATAATTTAATATAATCTTTTAATAAGTTTAAGTCTGACATATTGAAGATTTGTGTTCAACAAGTTCAATCTTAACTGACCTTTTGGGAATTTTTTTAACTTGTTATTAAGTAAATATCTAATAGAAAATCAATGATCATGAATATACTTAATTAACCTACTTATATTCAAATTACCAAACATTTCAAAGGTTGAACTTCAGTTGTTCGATGGATCAAATGTAATTGTGATCAACCTGATATTGATGATGTAATTTTCATTGCTCTAAAATTCAACATTATTTAACGAAATTAAAATAGAATGATGACAAAACTACTGAGTTATCGGCACACAAGTATATGTAAGAAGAGCAGATGTGTGTCTACGTGATAAGATATACAATTTAAATAATATAATATGTAAGAAAAAGTCTGAGATGAGCATAAATCATACTTACAATCTTTCAAGTTTAGTGTTGTTAGAAAACAGACCTTCTGGTAAAGTTACCAACGCGTTATTCTCTAAATCTCTGGAAGAAAATCAATTATCATGGTAATATAAGAACATGTTACATTAAAGCACTAATTCTGAACTTACAAAAGATTACCAATCTGATCTCCTTGTATTCAATAAGTTTATAATTGTGATAAACCTGCTGAGCTATTGGCACACAAGTATATTAAAAACCCTTTTATATAGGAACATGATTTGCAATAATTTAATATAACCTTTTAATAAGATTAAGTCTGACATATTGAAGATTGGTGTTCAACATGTGCAATGTTAACTGACCTTCTGGGATTTTTTCTAACTTGTTATTCAGTAAATATCTAATCGAAAATTGATGATCATGAACATAGTTACTTAATTAACCTACTTATATTCAAATTACCAAACATTTCAAAGGTTGATCTTCAGTTATTCAATGGATCAAATATATGTGTCATCAACCTGATATTGTTGATGTGATTTTCATTGCTTTAAAAATCAACATTATTTAACGAAATTAAAATAGAATGATGACAAAACTACTGAGTTATCGGCACACAAGTATATGTAAGAACAGCAGATGTATGTGTACGTGATTAGATATACAATTTAAATAATATAATATGTAAGAAAAAGTCTGAGATGAACATAAATCATACTTACATTGTTTCAAGTTTTGTGTTGCTAGAAAACAGACCTTCAGGTAAAGTTACTAACTTGTTTTCGTATAAATGTCTGAAAGGAAGTCAAATATCTTGATTTTGTAAGAACATGTTAAATTAAAACACCGATACCGAATTTACCAGAGATTACCAAATTCGATCTCCGTGTATTGAAAAGATGAAATATATTTTTCTTCAAACTGACATTGTTGATGCATTTTTATAAGCTTCAACTGCAATCTTTAATCAATGAGTGACATTGAAAGTAACATTTAGTATGCACAAAGGAAGTTTGCCAATAAAATGAAATTAAGTTAGACCTTCTGAGTTGTCAACAGACAAGTATATTGAGGAATATCAGTTATATATGTACGTGATTATATAAACAACACAATCTTTCATAAATTAAAGTCTGTGATAAACATTATTCACAATTACAATTCTTGTAACTTGGTGTTTGATGATAACAGACTATCTGGTAAACTTTCCTTGTTGTCTTTAGTTACAATTTTGGAGTATAATCAAGCATCTTCATTATGTAAGAACATATTCAATCAAGACAATTATATTCAAATTACCAAAAGGAATTCTAAGATTAATTTTGAAATATTGAATAACATTAAAAGTTAAATTAGCATATAAAAAGGAAGTCTGGCATATTGAAGATTGGTGTTTAACATGTTCAATGTTAAACGACCTTCTGGTAAATTTTCTAACTTGTTACTCATTAAATAATTAATAGAAAATCAATGATGATGAAAATGCTTAATTTATCTTCTTTTATTTACATTACCATACATTTTAAAGGTTGATCGTAAGTTATTCAATCGATCAAATATATTTGTCGTCCACCTGATATGATAGATATACTTTGTATTGCTTTAAAATTTAACATACAAAATGAACTTAATTAAAAAAGAATGATGGCAAAACTGTTGAGTTCTCAACACACAAGTATTTTGAAGAAAATCAGATATTTGTACGTGATTAAATATACAATATAATCTGTAACACAATTAAGTCCTAAGATGATCACAATTCATACATACAATGTTTTAATTTGTGTGTTGTTAGAAAACATATGAACGAGGTTAAAAATTCCACACACTATTAAATAAGTTTAGGTCTGATATAAATATCAATTACACTTAAAATTATATAGGATTCATGTTGAACAGAAACAAATCTTCTGGTAAAGTTACTAACTTGTTATGCCTTAAAAATCTGGAAGAAAATCAAATATCTTGATTGTGTAAGAACATGTTAAATCAAAACACTGATACTAAACTTACCAAAGATTACCAATTTGATCTCCCTGTATTCAATAAGTTTATCATTGTGATAAACCTGCTGAGCTATTGGCATACAAGTATATTAAAACCCCTTTATATAGGAACATGATTTGCAATAATTTAATATAATCTTTTAATAAGTTTAAGTCTGACATATTGAAGATTTGTGTTCAACAAGTTCAATCTTAACTGACCTTTTGGGAATTTTTTTAACTTGTTATTAAGTAAATATCTAATAGAAAATTAATGATTATGAATATACTTAATTATTCTACTTATATTCAAATTACCAAACATTTCAAAGGTTGAACTTCAGTTGTTCAATGGATCAAATGTAATTGTGATCAACCTGATATTGATGATGTTATTTTCATTGCTCTAAAATTCAACATTATTTAACGAAATTAAAATAGAATGATGACAAAAGTACTGAGTTATCGGCACACAAGTATATGTAAGAACAGCAGATGTGTGTCTACGTGATTAGATATACAATTTAAATAATATAATATGTAAGAAAAAGTCTGAGATGAGCATACATCATACTTACAATGTTTTAAGTTTAGTGTTGTTAGAAAACAGACCATCTGGTAAAGTTATTAACTTGTTATCCGATAAATTTCTGGAAGGAAATCAAATATCTTGATTATAGATCATTTAACACTAAAACACTGATACTGAACTTACCAAAGATTACCTATTTTGAACTCCATGTGTTCAATAGATAAATAAATTTTTCTTTAAACTGACATTGTTGATGCAATTGTTTAAGCTTTACTGCCACCTTTAAATGTGAGCGGCATTTAAAGTAAGATTAGTATGCACAAAGGAAGTTCTTTGGATACCAGAATGTGTTTAATATACTTAATTAACCTACTTATATTCATATTACCAAATATTTCAAAGGTCTATCTTCAGTTATTCAGTGGATCAAATATATTTGTCATCTATACTCATAATTTATTAGACATTAAAATCATTTGATTGAACACCATAATAAGATTGATCGACATAATAATGGACTGGACTACATGTCAACTGTAAAACAAAACGAAATCCCGTCCAACATCTGAAAAAGGGAATGTTTAAAACATGCCTCATTAAAACTACCATACTCCAATGTAAATTCAAAAATTCATAAGATGTTCCGAGGAACCTTGTGTCTCGCGATTGCTGCTGTCAGTCTAAAAGTGTAATGATGACATAAAAAGTGATAGCCTAGTCAATTTAGCTCTAATATTACTCAACCTGCAATTAATTGCAACACAAGATTTGTTTAAGTGTAAATTAGAACATAGACTTGTACTAAAAACATATAATAAAAATCTACATTATCATATTTTGAGGAAAAGGTTATTTTGGTGTGAAATATATGGTTTTTAGAGAACAAAAATACGGAAAACTGGAAAAAATTAAAAACAGTTATTTATGGTTACATTTTGAGACTTATAGCTTGGTGAAGAAGATAGGACACTTTATTTTTTTAGTGTATTATGTAGCCCTTTATTTATAATTATTCGTATTAAAGTAATTTTGAGGTGAAATGTGTGATTTAGAGAAAAAACGCTGAAAACTGAAAATGATGAAAATCTCAGGTGTTAATGGTTAAAATGTGTGAAATGTGATCTTCAAAGACAGAACATACTATTTTATGCTTATTATGTGAAGTCCAATAGTTATTTATATTAATATTTGGGTAAATTTGGCTGAAATATATGTTTTTAGAGAGAAAAACCTCGAAAACTGAAAAAAAAAGCTCGGTTATTGTTGTTAAAACTTTTGATGTGGGATCTTTATAGAAAATACGACATATTATATATTCTGTTTATATTATGAAGAAATGTAGTTATTAGTATTTAAAAATGGTAATTCTTGGGTAAAATGTGGTTTTTAGAGAAAAATTAAAATAGGAAAAAGATATTCATGGTTGAAAGTTTTGAAATATGATCTTAATAGAAGATAGAAAATATTAGCTTATGTTTATACATGTAACGTCGCGGTACTCAAATTGCACTGAGTACCCAAATTGCACCTAATTAGCAAAAATAGTAGCGGAAGTCTTACAATGTTTTGTTAAGAGATTAAGCAATTGGTATATTTATGATTTGACATTATGCACATCTTTCAATATAGCTAAATATGTTCAAATATACACAATACGTTCACTTTCACAGTATATTATCAACAGATGAAGCATCCACTGGAAAACCTTATTCTACGGAAACTTTGCCATGCGACATCCACAAAAAGTCAATTTTCAAAAATGAGTCATTTAAATTATGTAACAGGCATCCATTTCTTAAAAAAATTAATAGTAAGCAAGGAATGTTTTCAAATTGTTCCAGATAAAACTAAAAACCAGTTATTTGATTTTACGGAATGATATGAATTTTAACATGGATGCAATTTGGGTACTTCTCAGAACATAATCCTGGATCGTTTGGAGGTTGGTTCAAAACCATTTTTATGATTAAAAATGAATTTAAAACTAAATTGGTGGAACTATATAATAAATAAGAATACATGCCCTAAAAATAAACACAGAATGGACACTTTTGACTGGATCATATATAAACGTAGGTTAAAAAACTGTCAAAATAGGTGCAATCTAGATACCCACACATTATATGTATTCTTGTAGTTATCAATAACAATAGTAATATAATTTTTGTGTGAAGTATTTTGTTTTCGGAATAAATTACAAAAAAAAACAATTAAATTGCAAATCTTGGTTATTTCTTAATGTGAATAGGGTAAAATAGAGAATGGAAAGCTGGAACGTGGCAAAGAGAAAACAACCCGACCAACAGCAGAACCCAGCCCAAGGCCACCACTGGGTCCTCATCGCAGCGAGAAAATATGGCACCCGGAGGCGAGCTTTAGTCGGCCCTAAAGAATAATGTATACTAGTTCAGCAAAATGGACGCCACACTAAATTCCAAAACATTCAAATCAACCAAAATTATAAAAAAAAAAACACACAACACTAACAATTGGCTAGAATTTCCTGACTTTGGACAAACGCAAAAATACGGAAGGGTTAAACATGTTTCGCGAGATCTCAACTCTCCCTCTATACCTCTAACAATGTGGAATAAACAAAAACACAGCAGTACGCGCAGTAAAACCAAGATAAAAAGAAGTAGGTTTTGTTGAAGTTTGGACATTTTATCTCATGTTTCTGTGATAAATTTATAGTAATTTTGTAAGCATAATAAACAAAAAAATGTTTAATTGTGGTTCAAAAATAACTTAAAATTAGTTGATTTTTGTCATAATAATTGCTAAAAGAGTTATTTCACTAGTGTCCTTGCTTCACAATTGACTGTTGTCCTTTTTTTTTGTATTTTTTCATTAGCTACTTTTACAACATTTGAATTACTAGAGGAGTGACATTAACCATAAAATTTTATTTTTAATGCACCCACTTAACATACGACTAAATCATATACCATTCGAAAGCACATCATCTGCACTACCTTTTTTGTCCGGTCGTCAAAAATTCGTATGGTGCAGTTTCTGTCAAATCGCAACGAAAGGTCAAGTACGGACAACTTCTAATGTTACAAGAAGTCAGCATGTTTTGCATATTCTGTCTTCTGAATAATGATATTTTGTATGTACATATGGAAATCTGTTAGAACAGATGTTAATAGTAACTTATCAAAAGCACTTTGAAAAATTCATGTCGGATTTTTAATAAATAGCGCTGTTTTCCAGAAATTCCATTGAAAATGACAAAAATGCATGAAAATCAAATTTTATGTCTGTGATTCAACTA